AGGCTGAATGGATCACTGGCGACTGGGGCTCTGAGGCTCCACTTTTTCCTCAGGAAGTTGGGCTGGAATGGAGTGAGCTGTGCTTGGTTGGGGCTGTGGTGGTTTGGGATCTGGGCAGAGTAGAAGAATTAGAAAAAGTATATTAGAGTTGACTGTGGAGCCTTCCCCCACCAACCCAAAACCCGCCTGAGTGTCCCCATCTCACCTGGGAAGGCCCTCATTTTTCTCTACCACCTCTCACCTGCTTGGCTCCCCAGCTGGGCTTCAGGGCGATCTCCCCAAAGCAGATGTTTAGGATCATTGAGGAACCGCTGGCTGCGCTGGCACGTTAAGCAGGTCTGTACCGTCCAGCGCTGACCCTTACATCCTGGAGCAGATTTGAGATAAAAACCAAGAGGGTGTCAAGGTTTAGTTGAAGAAAAGAACTCCTGCATCCAATTTTGCCTCAAATTCTTTTCAGTTAAGAATTATTTTTCACCTCTTTTAAATGCAAAGTTGATGGTGTTAAGCTCTCTGCATAAATTCAACAAACTTCTTTATATCTTTTAATCTGAAAGCTCAAATTTCTTTAAAAGACTTCCAGATCAAGCCTCAGTTTTCTTCTTCAGCTTCATGTCTTGCCTCTGCCAACCTCAACCTCCAGCCTCCTGAACTCTTACTTCCTCACAGCACCAGAGAGAGCCCCTTTGTCTGCAGTCCTCACTGTAGAATTTCTATTGTGGCCCCACTTCAGCTCCCCTTGAAACTAACACTAGCAGAAGGAACTCGGCTCCAATAAAATTTTTGTATGGTTTTATTTGTATTCTCAGATTCCCATTTCAAGGAAAAGAATTCACTCACAGAACATTTAACACTTTTTTTTTTAATTGAGACCTTAAAGTTTACAGAAAACTTGGATTTCCATTCATTCATTGTTGCACACTTTCCTTCCTACTTAATACATCTTCTTGAGCCATCGAGTTAGAGCCAACCCATAGCTGCCCCTCCAGCGTGTTTACAGAGGTTGTACATCGCATGGGAGGAGAATCTTTACACATACAGACATCCCCCCCCCCCCAAGGAGCAGCTGGTGGATTCAAACCAGGTGTCCTGGAGCTGGCAGCTCAGCTCCTTACCACTAGAGCTCCTTTAATATGTAAATGAGTATTTGCTCACAATGGAGCCAAGTAACATTATGACAGTGCAGCAATTATTATTTTGTACTTCCAAGGTTAAGACAAAGGCAAGCCCTAATTGTGTGCACACTTAATTTGGCGCGCGAGAGCGAACTCTTACAAATCCGATGCCTGACATCCATCTAAAGTTGAGGGAGTTGTCACTGATTCCCCCGCTTCCCCCAACCCCCCGATTTTCTGCTCCGCTTAATCCGCCCTCGGCAGGCACTCACGTCTCTGGCGCTGGGTGCAGGTCAGGCCCGGGATGAGGAGGGAAGAGCAGCCACGACAGAGGGTCCTCTTCACCGAAGGATCCCTGGAACAGAGGAGGTGGTCTAGTGCAAACCCTCCCTCACCGACAGTCCCTGGTCTCCCCTGCCGCCAACCTCCTCGTCCGCTCACCGCCGCAGCACGAGCCGCTTCGCAATGGTCTTCTCCGTGTGGCAGTAAAACCTCGCCAGCGCCTGGTTCTCGGGGTCCTGCGCGAGGACGCAGTGGGCGGCCTGGGATAGGTCAGCTGTCACTCTGGGGTCTGCCTCACTGAGGCCCTTTTTTTATTGTGCGCCCCCGGCTCGGACTAACCTGATACAAGAAATTAAGGCCCACCATCCGGGAAAGAGGAACCCGGCTCCTGGCAGTTCCCAAGCTCCGCCCCTCGGCATGCTCAACCCCTCCCCGGCGTCCGCGCGCGGCCTTCTGGGAAGTAGAGTCCCTTGTCCACGAGTTATTTAGCGAGAACAGAGGAGTTACTTTGAGTCCTACACTTTGGCGGCGCCACCCCGTGGCCTGACATACTCATTTGTTTGTGAATCCATCCCCAGTTATCCATCCAAGCGTCCTTCTGAGTTTTCTTTTCCTTCCAGTCACACTAAAAAACAAACAACAAACCAAATAGAAACAGTAAAAGCTAGTGGAGTAGCTTGTACACTCTTAAAACGCTCAGAGAAGACTGATATCTCTAAACAAGTAGGTTTTAGAGATGGTTATGATAATTCACAAGGACAGCAAACAAATGTTGATGAGGGTATGGAGAGATTGGAACTCTCTCATACATTGCTAGGGAGCTCTGGTGGCTTAGAGGTAGAGAGTACCACTGCCAACCCAAAGGTATGAGGTTAGAATCCACCAGCTGCTTCACAGGAGAAGGATGGGCAATCTCTCATGTGATTTCCTGCCTCTGAAGATCCGCTGGAGGGTCAGCTCTGGGTTGGTTCTGAATCCACGGTACATAACAACAATAAACATTGCTGGCGAGAATGTAAGATGGTGCAACCAATTATGTAGAGCAGTTTGGTAAATGTCTATTAAAACTAATAATAATAAAAAAGAAAAAAAAAAAGAAAGTTGGCAACAGGGAGCTCTGGTGGCCTAGTGGCAAGAAACTGGGCTGCAATACCATAGGTGTGTTGTTCGAGTCCACCAGATGCTCTGCTGGAAAAAGGAGGGGCAATCTCCTCCTGTACCAGTCTGATTCGATTTGATGGTACACACACAGAAAATAATAATATAACAAATTTAAAAAAAAAGAAAGTTGCCAATAGAAATACTTTTACCAACTGTTAGGTATACATCACAAAGAAATAAGCTGAGACACAGATATATGCACATTGCAGTATTATGTAGAATAGCAAAAGGATGGAAACAATTCAAGTGACTAAAGCCTAAACAAACTATGGTACACTCACACAATGGTGTATTATGCAACACTACAGATTTTTTTTATTACTCTTATTTACAAAGTTTGAATACATTGCTTTTCACAGAAGAGCCTTCCCATTTCCTTCAACCCACCCACCCATCGATTTGTGCAACCCTATTATCAACACCCTACCCCCCATCTTCACTTTTCTATCTCCACTCTCCCCTCTCCCCTTGGATACTTATACTCATTCTACAACAAAGGTTTTACATAGTATTTGTCCTTGTGGGACTGAGTTAGCTTACTCAGTATAATGCTCTCCAGTCCCTCCAAGTTAAGTAGTAATTTACAAAATGATTGCTCCTGCATGCTGTGCAGTATTCCATCATATGCAATGTACCACAAATTCTCAATCCTTTCGTTTGTGGTTAGACATCTGGGCTGTTTCCATGTTCTTGCAATGGTGAATAATGCTGCAATAAACATTGGTGTACAAGTTTCTGTTTAAGCCTCAGTTCTCATTTTCTCAGGGTATATTCTAAGTAGTAGAATAGCTGGGTCATATGGAATTTCTATGTTCAGCTTTTTGAGGAAGCGCCAAAGTGTCTTCCAGAGTGGTTGTACCATTGTACAATACTACCAACAATGTAAAAGAGATCCTATTTCACTACATCCTCTCCAACATTTATTACTTGCTGTACTGTTAAACTTTGCCACTGCTATTAGAGAGGGTATCTTATTGTGGTTTTGATTTACATCTCTCTTACTGCCAGTGATTTGAGCATTTCTTCATGTTTTTTGGCCATTTGAATATCTTCCTCTGTGAAAATGCTTTCATTGTCTTTTGCTCATTTTGTAATTGGGTTATCAGACTTTCTCTTGTGGAGGCCCAGGAGTATACTATAAACTTTTGTTATGAGACTCTTGTCTGAGATGGGATTGCCAAATGTTTGTTCCCAATCAGTAGGTTTTCTTTTCACCCTGGACTTACTCATTCAGAAGCCAGGGATCAAGATTCACTGCTTCCACCTGTACTTTCTGAATCACTAAACATTCAAAAAGTCCATGACCTTGTAAAAGAGGGACCTGTTACATATGCACTGTTAGAGCATCTATCTTCTTCAACATTCAGAGAACTGTTAGGAAGATACACAACATCTTCTAGAGAGTAGGCAGGCCCATATCCAGAAGTTTGGGGACTATTTGTTAATTGTTTCTTTAAATACTCATCGACTTTTTCTTCTTTATTAGCATTTGTGGCCGTGACAAAATGACCATATTCTTGCCTGGGTCATAAATCTTGGTACTCTCACAAAAAGACTGCAAGGCATTTGCAAGGGATGCAGCTTGGACATGCTGCATTTGGAAAAGGTTAACTGTTATAGCTTTATGGGTCAGGTCACACTGGAAAACAAGTGTGCGGAGCTGTGCTAAAACTTCTCTCTTGGTATTTTCTAGATTTTTTGTCTTTCTTCAACATGTGTCATACACATTTTGTAGAGTTCATTTGCTTCTACTTTTTGAAGAGCCTCCTCTTCTAGCTTTTGCTTTTTTCCTAGCTGCTTGTTAAGACTTTTTGCTAATCCTCCATTTGAGGTCAGGTGTTCTTCCTCCACACCAGACATGGAAGATTTTGTTTTTTCCTATTCGTCTTGATGTTGAATGCACAATTTTGCCTTTTTAAGAGCAGTCTCTGTTTCAAGCATTTTATTTTGTTGCTCTTTCAAAAGTTCTTTGTTTTTCCATTACATTTTTTCTCCCAAGTAAAGGCTGCATAAAATTTGTTAGCTTGGGAGAGCAGCAATTGTTTCTTTTAAAAGTTGACTGCTTTGTATATCATTAAGAAGAGCACTGGTAAATAACGACTTAAGTGGCATAAATTCATGTAGTCCAATGTTTGCTCTTGGTACCTCTGCCAACTTGACAATATTTCTAGTGGATCCTAATTCCAAGTTAAGCTTTTTCTCAACCCATGAAACTATGTTCTTGGTATATTTTGACCACATTTTAGCATATGACAAGGCCAATTCTACACAGTCAGTGTTCTTTACCAGAACATTGTTTAGTTCTGTAGGAGATAAATGTCCTCTCTAGATGAGTCAACTGATCCCACAGAAATACTTCCAAGTGATATGCATTCCTGGGACACAGGTAGTTGTAATACTGACATATTGCCTAAAGTATCTTCCCAAAGGTAAATGCCAGTGCTCCAATAGAAGAAAACACCATTTGGAAGGTATAATTTTTTTTTTTGGAAGGTATAATTTTTTTGTTTCCTTCATTAATTTTTTTGAAGTTCAAAGCTTTCACTTTTCAATAAGCATATCTGCACCATTCTAGCAACAAAATTGAGGCTCTGATATTTAGTCATTACAGATTTTAAAGCAAGAAGCTAATCTAGTCATACGTATATGACTTCTCTGAAGCATTGTGAAAGAATGGCTTCTCTGAAGTAAATTAACATCTTGGAGAACTTGCAGATTCCTCATAGAATCTGCATCAAAACCAGAGTTGAAACTCGCCGATCCCATTTCAGTGGGAGTAACAGAGACAACACGTTTTTTTCTTGGGTTTTTTAGATTTGGGAGGATTCATCTTCTCATTTAAAATTAAAAAAAAAAAACCAACCAAAAAAAGGAAATCCCAGTAAGTCTTAAACACAACAGGTCACAAAGGTCAAAGGCACAGGAAATACTAGAGACACCGTAGTGCTCCATTCTGCGCCCAGGTTGCTGACGCCAGGTCCATACTTACTGTCCCAGAGGATTGACGCTCACCACCCCCATGCCCCAGCGCCCTCTGACGGTAGGTCAGCAGCTGCTGCCACTGCCCCTCAGATTTTTTTTTTAAATGGGCAAAATCTTGAATGATCCAAGCAGCATCAAAAGCAAATGGCTCTTAGCAGCTCTGGTGGCCTAGTGGTAAATAGCTGTGCTGTAATCCCAAAAGAATGCGGTTTAAATCCATCAGATGTTCTGCTGGAGGAGGGGCAATCTCCTTTGCCAGTTGGATCTGATTTGATGGTGCGTTAGGTGCGCATCCCCCCCCACAAAAGCGAAAAGCTCTATTTCCGCTGACAGCATGCTGTAAAGTTTGGCTTCACTGCTCTCCCTTTTCTTTCCAAGGGTCCTTTCCCCTTTCCTTTCTTTTTCACTTTAACTCTTTTGCGTAGCTTAGGCCTCTGTCTTATTAAGAAATCTTTTTCACTTGTTTTGCTTAAAAAAAAAGAAAAAAGCACACACAGAAACTGTACCAAAAAGAAATGACTGATACTGAAAAATTTCAGGATATACCCTATCAACAAAAGCTGAAGGTAATGGAGTAAAATAAAGCTGCACTGAAGGCACTGGCAAAAAACTAAGGTCCCAGGAATCAATGGAATACCAATTGATGCGTTTCAACTAACAGTTCTGGCCATGCTCAGTAGTGTATGTCGGGAAATTCTGAGGACAGCTGCCTGTCCAATTGACTGGATGAGATCCCTATTTGTTCCCATTCCCAGGAAAGGTAATCCAACAGAATGTGGAAATTACCAAACACTATCATTAACACCACGTGCAAGAAAAATATTGCTGACGATCTTCCAAAATTAGCTTAGAACAGTAAACTGCCAGATGTTCAAGCTGGATCACTGCTGATGTCAGATGGATGGAGCCTGACTTAAAGCAGAAAATACCAGAAAAATGTTTGTGTTTTATTGACTGTGCAAAGGCATTGATTGTGTGGATCATAACAAATTATGGGTAACATTGAGAAGAATGAGAATTTCAGAACCCTTAACCTATATCTAGACCAAGAAGCCGAACAGAGCTTCAAACATAGCAAGGGAATACTGCATGGTTTAAAGTCAGAAAGGGTGTGTGCCAAGGACCTATTTCATCTGTATGATGAGCAAATAATTTGAGAAGCTGGATTCAGAAGACTGTGGCATCAGGATCTGAGGAAGATTCAATAACCTGCTTTATGCAAATGATACAACCTTGTTTGCTGAAAGGACTTGAAACACCTGCTGCAGAATTTCAGAGACTACAGCCTTCAATATGGATTATTTTTATGTACCATCAAGTTGAGGCCCTGCAATATATCTGAACCCTTCCCTATCCTGAGTCAGTCAGTCTCTGACTCACCTACTCCTATTACCCTAGTCACTGTTCAATCTATCTTATCCGTGTCTTCCTCTCCCATGTTGTCCTTCCACCCTTCTAAGCATGATGACCTCCAAAGACTAGTCCCTCTTGGCCACATGCCCTAAGTATGTAATATAGAGCTTCAAATCTGTTTCTTCTTTTGATAGTCCATGATAAGTTCAACATTCTTCTCTATCACTACAATTCAAAGGCATTGATTCTTCTGCCATCCTTAGTCACTGTCCAGCTTTCTGATACATAGCAAGTAATTGTGAAGACTATGACCTCAATCATGCACAACTTAGTCTACAGATTGTTATCTTCGCTCTCCAGCACTTTGGAGAGGTCCTTCACTGCAGATCTCCCTAATGCAATTAGTCTTTTGATTTCCTGGCTGCTAGTGCAAAGACTGTTGATTGTGGATGAGAAAGCTGAAATAGTTAACAACTTCAATCTCTTCTCCATCTATTATGGTGCTGCCAACTGGCTCAGTGGTGAGAATCTGTCTTCCTGCTGTTGAGCTTCAATCTATATTGCAGACTACAATTCTTGATCTTCTGAGGCAAAACTTCAGGTTCAGCCTTAGTTTCAAGGTTGTGTCATCTGCATAATGTAGGATGTTAAGTCTTCCCCCAATCTTGATGCCACATTCCTCCTCATAAAGTCCTTCTTCCCAAATGATGTTTTGCATATAGAATGAAAAGGTATGGAGACAGGGTGCATCCCTGACACACTCTTTTTCTGATTTTGAACCATGCAGTATTTCCTTGCTGTTTTGACACTGCCTCCTGGTCCAAGTAAGTTTCACATAAGAACAATCAAGTATTCTGGGATTCCCATTCTTCTCAAGATTGGCCACAATTTGCTGTGATCCACAGTCAATATGGACTGTGTCACTATATTGCTATACACAACATGTTGGGAACTTCGTAGTGAGTTTGGACCTTTCATCTGATGGCCTGTATGGGGAGAGGTCTGCAGTTCAGAACTCTGGGACTTGAGCTTCTTAGCACCACTGCCTGGTTCATCAAATTGAAGTCCTAACACCGTGGGACAGTTCCTATTAACCAGCTTTCAATATCAACTGATTCTAGCCAAGCCTCCTTTGATGTAAGACCCCTTCCCTAGCTTCCCACTTCAGCAGGAAGAAGTTCTTAGAATTTCTTCACCTCTTTCCCCTCTCTTTAAGTTGGGAATATAAGGTTGAAACCAAAGCAAATCCATTTTGCTGACATTCTGGCCTTACCCTAATATGTTCATGTTCCAGGAAATAGTAAATAATGTTTACCAGTACACACAGTTTTATAACCCACTCCAGGAGATAAAACAAGGAGTGGCGAAACAATGAAACTGTTCTGATTACCCCCAACTAGCCAACATAGAATGGATAAATACCCTACTCTTCTCTTTATTTGGTGATGTCAACTGAGCCTCATTCCACTGACTATCAGTCCACTTTCACCAAAGTATGCATTCCAAATAAAGCATATTTGCTATTTTTTTTAATAGGTTGCATCTCTCCACCAGGAAGACAAAAATCCTCACCACTGGACCCATAAGTAACATGATGACAGGTGCAGAGAAGACTGACATCAATGATTTCATCTTACTTGAATTCACAATCAACACTGTTGGTACCAGCAGTTAGGAGATCAAGGGACAGTTTCCATTGGGTGAGTCTGCTGTCAGGGACCCCTCCAAATCACTAAGGTGTCATGAGGATTGTTTGAAGACTAAAGTGCGCCTGATTCAAGCCCCGGCCTTTTCAATCACTTGGTATGTTTTTAAAGCTGGACAATGAATAAGGATGACAGAGAAGTATTTGATTTGTGGTACTGGAGAAGTGTACTGAATAACCTTGGATTGCCAAAAGAACAGATGTGTCTTGGAAAAAGTGCAGCCTGAGTGTTCTTTAGAAAAGATAGTGGATCTTTGTCTCACATACTTTGAATATGCAGCTAAAAGAGGCTATTCCTTGGAAAGGGACATCATGCTGGAAAGGTAGAAGGTTGGTGGAAGAGAGAAAGACCCTCAATAAGTTGACACAATGACTGAAGCAGTAGGCCTAAGTGTGTCAGAAATGATGAGGATAGCACAGGAAAGGTCAGGGATCAGATCTGTTGTTCATAGGGTCACTATGAGTCATATGCGACTCAACAGCATAACAACAAAAGAATGATGAAGAATTCATGGAACATTCACATGGATGAATCTAAAGAAAATTATGCTGAGTGACCTAAATCAGTCACAATGATAATTATGATATAATACTATTATTATAAAAAGCTAAGGGAAGATTTATGCACAGACAAATTCTTGGATGGCTATCAGGGATGGAGAAGCGAGGAGTGGAGTTAAACCAATAATAGGTACGCCAGGTGAAGGGAAGGGCAGTACAGTTAGGATTGATGAGACATAATGAATTAGTTGGAATGAGTATTATAAAAATATATACAATTTAAAAAGCATTATGATTTGTTATTTTTTTTTTTTTAAAAGTGCCATGGAGCACAGCTCTGCTTGGACATACCCATCCCACCAACACCCAAGCCGCCATCAGCCCTGTAGTCTTGAAACAAAAGACAGTTAAATACTTAAAGATCTAGACCAAAGAAGTTAATCATGCTTATACATTTAAAAAGGCACTTGTGCCCCTGAATGTCAAAGTGGGAAGGACCATGAGAGTGATGGGGAGCAAAGGGTTCCTGGCACAGGAAAGCACAGTTTACTCCCATTTCTACTCACCAAAAAAATTATACTGCCTATGGGGCAGCATGGACACAGTATGGCGTTCCTCACTTGTTAAGTGAATGGTCATTAATTTCTAGTTTTATCCAATGGAGCACCGAAATCCATCAATACTAAGCCTAAAATGACTCCCCATTACCTACATAGGCACTTTTCACTCTTCCGACCAATTTCTTAGTCTTGTTTTTTTCTGTTTGACATCCTGTTTACCCACCACTCTTCACAGATAAAGACTGCAAGTTTCTGAGATCATAAGAGGGACAGGAAGGGCAGAATGGAAATGAAGCTTGAGAAAGGCAGGGGGCAGCATATGTCAGGAGAGTTTAGAGCCTCCCCCTACTCAGACTCTTTCCAGGCTGGCACAGGGAACTAGCTTTCTAGATCAGAGAAATAGGATAAAGCTCCTCTAACATGAGTTGAACAAGGGTCCCCAGACTCAGCTGAGGGTACTATGTAAAATTCGTATGCCTGGCCTGTTCTCCTGCCCTCAAACCTTGATGGGACCTAGGAACATGCATTTTTAACCCTCTAAGTGACACTTACATATACCAACATCAGCCCACTGACAAAATACCACACAGTACAAATCATTTGAGTGGGTCCTTTGCTCCATATTATTTCAACCAACCAATGTGTTTTGCCACAAAGAACCACAGTCAAGGCACAAAGGTAAGAGGAGAAGAGTCTGGACAAAGTCCTGTTGAGGTTGTAAGAGGAGCTGAAATGCCCTCAGTAAACTGCAGTCTCTTATCCCAATCTTCCGTCAACTCTTGATTACTCAAGCAGAGATAATCCAAGTTGTTATAGTTTGGTTTGGCATGCATCAGTTTACCTTTTTTGACAACATATGTACCCTGCAATGTGTTTATTTTGGCCTATTGTGAAAATAACTTGCATTCTCTAAAAAGGGGAATGGCAAAGGGTGAAGGACAGCAACAAACAAGCAAAAAAGACTGGCTCTTCTGAAAATGAGTTCCCAGCCAGGTGTACACAGAGAAAAGGGAGTTGATCATCTGACCTTCCATACCCAAACCACCCTTTCCTATCCATTTTCTAGGTGAGGAAGGTTCTAATACCTTTCTTCCTTCCTGGCTGGGATGGCTCTCTCTGCTAGATATCAAGGTTGATTTGGGGTTTACCGACTTACTAGCCATAAGGCTAGGGCTTTGGATAGAAATATCTTTCTCTTTCCTCTTATACCTGACCTTCCCCTTCCAATTTCTTTTTTTTTTAAAAGCAGTGAAAGGGTAGTTTGCAGGATCTCTTTGATCATGCTCTGCAAAGGGGCAAGGTGACTACTTCCTGGAGACGACCAACTCTAAGGAAGCAAGCAGTAAGTCATTTGTGCTGATAGGCTAGGCAGGGACTTAAATTCTGTTCTTTCTGGTCAACTCCCCTTTCTCTCCCTAATTTTCTCAGCACAGTCCTACTTCTTGGACAATCCTACTCATAATGGTAACCTCAGCTTGGGAATAAAAGATCAAAGAATTCCTTTCTTTAACCTTCTTCTAATCCTTCTAATGCCCATTCTCTTCCCCAGGAATATTCCCCAACTTTCAGAAGAATGACAGAAACTGCCTTTCACCTTTATTAATCTAAAGGTACACAGACCTTTGTGATCTTCCTCAATAAAAATGACTATACTGGGTTAAAGGACTCCCTAAAAAATGTATAGGGGTTTCCATTTCCTCCTCCAGTTTTAGGAAGGAGATTTCCCCCCAATGACATTTTGTTTCTGGTAAAATCTCTTGTTACTATCCAACCCATCCTTGTGCAATAAAAAACCTGATGGACCTCAGGGCGGCAATGCCCTGGGAACTAGCTCCTCACGCTGACAGTCTGGAGGGGGATGCAGTTTTGTGCTCTCATCCCAGCCCAGTCCTACTCATCCACACTGGTCATCCTAGAAACCACAGAGCGTCTCCTGGACGATTCAGGAGTGGAACCAGGCAGACAGGAAGACGTTCCAGCAGGACTCAGGAAGGCAGGCTCTTGACTCTGCCTTCCCCTAATTAGTTCCATGACCCGACCTGTCATTCCCAATCTGTTGGGGGCCTAATAGTAAGCGGTGCAGCATTCTTCCGACCAGCACGGATGCCTGGATAGAAGAGGGGCCAGAGTTTCTCAGTAAACGTGTCAGTGAAGGTGTAGATGTGAGAGCGATCTGTGACATTGTAAAAAGACAGCGTGCCAGCTTCATAGTCTAGGAATATGCCCACTCTCTTGGGTTTCACTTTGATGTGCAAAGGGGTAAAGGGGGTGGTGGTGGCTGCATATTTGTCCCCATTCCATAGCCGCACGCGCCAGTAGCCAGTCTCAGGGAGTGGTGTCAGTTCACCCTTTCGGCTCACGGAGTCCTGGCACACACCCACTGCCCAGTGAGTCTTGTCGCCCACCTCCACTTCCCAATAGTGTCGACCTGAGGTGAAACCTTCAGTTGCCAGGACACATGGGTAGAAGGTGAAACGTCGGGGTGTGTCAGGGAGATCCCGGAGTCTTGTCTCCACGAACTTGACACTTTTACGATCTTCTGATAAAACTAGGTTAGGATGGGCCGTCTCAGGATCCAGGGTCACGTCCGCTGGCGGGAGAAACCAGAGTGGAGAGCTAGAATTGAGGACAGGAATAGCCAATCACCCCAGCCCTCCCTCTTCCAGTCTGCCTTTACTGAGTCTGTTGCAAAGATCTCTAGAACATTATGTTTTGGTTAACTATCTCAATTATATATGTTACTAAAGAGAGAGGAAGGACAATTGCTTTACTTTTCATTTTGACCTTAATATAACCAGACAATGATCCTTCTGATTCCCTAAGGGCAGGAAGCCTACATTTCAGCCTAGTCCTTTGTCCATTCTCCTCTGACATCTACCTCACTATGTGAAGAAGCGCTGGGCACAGCCAAAGGCCACAAAGAGTACAAGGTATGGAGGATGCAGAGTAAGATAACATTATTGTTATGGATACTGTGATCCTGTATCTATCTACTCTACTACAACAGTATGGTTTATGTTTCTTTTCCCTACACACATATTAGAGGCCCTCCTTTCCAAATTGTTGTTAGGTGTCATCGAGTTCACTACAACTCACAGTAACCCTATGAACAACAGATCAGAACTGTGCCCGATCCTGTGCCACCTCCAATATGCGTGAGCCCATTGTTACAGTCACTGTGTCAATCCATCTTGCTACTAATCATGCTTAAGAGAATTTTGGTTTTAGATTTGAAATTGTGGTCACTCTATCTGATACTTGGGCAGATTATTTAACTTCTGTGGGAGCCTATTTAGAAAAATACAATAAAAAAATACAATCATTACATTACAACTAAGGCTTCTCACTTAATTTCTATGACCTACTTAATGCTAGCTAGGTAAAGGGTGAGGTGATTGTGAAAGGGTGAACATTGGAAAGAAACAGAGGTAGCTGAAATCAGATCAGGCAGGACAGAAGGATTTTATTTTGTCTGCTGATTCCCTTTGCTAGTCTTCGTTTGGGAGCAACTCACCCATTAGCTGTTTAAGGATCCTCCTGAGAGCAAAATACTGTCGGGGGAAATTGCTGAAGTTCTTCTCCAATTGTATGGATACAGAAGTCACCTCCATGGTCTTCACTTTCTCACATCTAGGAGGGTAGAATTTAGGGAAACACAGGGGACAGTTAGGGGGAAGCTCCAGTCAAGTAAGTATTCAGATGCTGTCATTCTAAGGGAAAACTAAAAATTTTCACCTTTTCATTATCTTGCTTTCCCCAAACCAAAACTTTACTGCTTTCTTTTACCAATCTATGGAGTGTTGGACAGGTTCCTGGATAAGCCTTACCTCAAGAATGAGTCCAAAAACTTTCTAGGGAGGAATATGTATTTCATGCATAATGATAAACATCATCCTTCCCTGTTCTCTAACATCTTCCTCATTTCATCTTGCTTGAGGACAATTTACTCCAGATAAAATGAGATCCAGTTCTACCTCATAATTCTTATTACCGAAAAATTCTCAATGATTTGCCCTTTGACTGGCTTCAAAGGAACCTATTTCCACATCTACCCAGATATTAGAGATGATAAAGATGGTGCAGGAGGATGTGCTATTCATAGGGTCACTTATTCATACGCTCTACTTGACAACACATAACAACCACTCCCCAGATATTGCATGTCATTGTCACTTTTACTCAGCTAATTCTACTGTGCCAAGACCTAACTCAAAGAAATACAGAAAATTACTTACTTTTCCAGGGTACTTTTGACATCCTAGAGGGAAGAAGAGAAGAAAATAATATTGACCCTGGTGTTCAAGGGTTCTGAAGGTCCCTACCCACATACAGGTCTAGAGCTATAAATAGGTAAATTAAGGGCCATGATACAAGAGGAAGAGCCCCAGGGGGACCAGAGTGTAATCTTTAATGATTAATAGAAGATTTATTTAAGCAATAATACACAGTCATCTCTGTCACACTTAATATGAGGTGTTAAATGGTCGTTCCCATTTTCCTTCCTGGATACGTTTTTCTTTTCTATCCCTCTCGGTTCTGAAAACATAATACCAGAAGAAGAGGGGCCCAAGGCCAAACACAGGTCCTATGAGGGAGAGCTTGCGAGTGGGCCTGAAATTGGGATACACATCGCTGATCTTGCATAGGTCCAATGAGTCAAGGCAGGATCTTCAACGATTGTCTGCCGGTTGGGGCCATTGAACTGAAGCAGATACTCCCATTTAAGCTGGGATCTAATGGCCAGCCGCTTGTTTTGAGCCCACTGGGTCTCTGGAGATATGTCGTATTCGGCTGGGTCGAAGGTAGCAGGTAGGGTGGCCAGGCGTGATGGCTTGTACTTTGGGAATGACATCTTGGTGACCGCTGGAACCCCCATTCTTAACTTTGGTCCTCAGGAAACTTGTTATGATTTCCAAATACTTTCTATTACGTTTGTTTTTGCTCCTCATTGACAGTGAAAGCTTGCTGCGTGAGGCAGGGATTGTACATCTACTCTGTACTTTGTCCCTAAAGTATGTCATATATAGTTCAGTCCTCCTGAAAATTGGCAGACTATTCTACAGTGGTGGTACAGAATTCTTAAGTTCCTGTTGTAGTTTTGTGTTCTACCTATGGTTTTGGTGAAGAAATTCTATGTCAACACTTGATGCGAGAATAAATGCATGAGGTCCAGAACACAAAGAAGGCAAATCTGTTTCTTCCCTGCAAGATCTCCCAGTTTAATATGGAAGGTAAACATACAAACATGAAAGGACACAAGAATAAGTATCAAGCAATACAGAATATGCACATAAATGTGCAATAAAGCCTCACTGATTCAAATGCTGGTACTCTTATATCTACAGTAAGTGTTTCCGACAGCCTGTCTACACTTGCACAGAAGGTCTGACTACAGCCTTTACTGTAGATTACATCCCAACATAAAAAAAAAACCAAACCAAACCCCAAATGAATGGACAGAGAAGCTGTGGTATAGTCACACAATGGAATACTATGCTGCATTGAAAAACAAGGAACTCATTCAATATTATTCAAAATGGGTGAGCCTGGAGGACATTATGCTGAGTGAAATATCTCAGTCGCAAAAGGACAAATATTGCATGGTGCCACTGCTGTA